GCACCGCGGGGCCCCCTCGCGCGGGCCCCGAGGGCTGCGGTTTTTTCCCATCCGCGGTGGAGGAGGGGCCCTGATTCCCCAACGGGCATCTCCAGCCCTCGGCTGCTCTTTGCGCAGGGAGGGGCGAAGGCCCGTGCGGGGCCCGTGCTTATCTACACGGGTAGATTCCGTTCCCACAGCAAGTGTCTGCCCTGGCAGCCGCCACTGGGGCAGGGGGGTTAGCCTTAGGGGGGACCGGGCTGCACGCTCAGTGACTGGGCTTGTGGCTTTGTCTGGGTCTCTCTGCTGCACACGTGGGGCCTAGGCGGGTTTCTTCGCGATGCGTTTTCAGTTTGTTTCTACACCAGAAAGTCTAGGTCTGTTTAGGCTGGAAAAGTCTGTCATGACGGGAGAACTAGTGTAAATGAAACCCCCAAAGGGAGTGAAAGGCCTGCATACATCACACGTGGGGAGTCAAGTCCAACTTTTACAAAATCCTCTGCAGGTCACTTTTTAATCTCTTATTCAAAGAGCTGCTTCCTTGAATTTGAGGAACATAATGCCATTAAACAGGTGTGGGTTTTTTTATTTAAATGTTTCCTTGTAGCACTTGGAATCCAGAGCCCTCTTTATATGTTAGGTTTCAGAGTAGCAGCCGTGTTAGTCTGTATCCTCAAAAAGAACAGGAGTACTTATGCATATGCATCCAAAGAAGTGGGTTGTAGCCCACGAAAGCTTATGCTCTAATAAATTTGTTAGTCTCTAAGGTGCCACAAGTACTCCTGTTCTTTATATGTTAGGAAATGAAAGTGAAATTGATATATATGGCTTCACTGGTTAAACAGAGTGAAATGCAAAAAGAGCTGATAATCCTAGTGCTTTGTTACTTTCATGTGAAAGTGAACTACACTGAAGGAAGCCTACTGATATCAATGCTTTGATAGCTGGCTAACAGCTGCCTGTGAAGAGGAAATAGTTGAAGCACTTGTGTAAGGGCTAATGCTACTATGACATTCTTTTAAGTGAAGTTCTTGAGCCAATTCAAGCAAACCACTACTTCTGGGTGGCAGCAGGAGTAACTTAAAACCCTAAAAATATCTGCTACATACCACCTGCATTCACTTGATTGTACTTATATCAGTGCCCAGGCCCTGCCCTTTTTCCAACCCCAGCTTCCCCGATGTCCACTGTTTACTATGGGTGCAGCATCTTAGTCATGTTGCTGAGAGCTAATATATAGTTGGTAGAAGTCTTTCTGCATGGGTACTGAGTAGATGCTGAGGTCTGAGCCTTAGTACTTTGGCTTTCTGCACTTCGTTAAACATTTTTTGCATGTAATATCCATAGGTGGTAATTAAAGCCATTTTTAAAAGGCCTGACAAGAACATAGTTGGACTTGCTATAACAGATCAGATGAAAGTTCCATCTTGTCCAATACCGTGTCTGAAAGCTGACAGTCATCAGGTGCTTTGGAGAAAGGTGCAAGGAGCTAGAAAGTCCTAGAAATTAAAATACATCCATCCTTGAATAGCTAACTGCAGACTATAATTGTGGAACTTTGTGTTCACTTGTAACTGATAGTGAATACTCAATCTCATGTTTCGTGTACTGGCTTTTCATCTTGAGGTGAGAGTTGCAATGTTAGTGAAATGAAAGTTTGATTCCACCCTGGTTTTCCATCGTGTAGGGTATTAAACCAATAACTGCCAGCATTTACAATGGAATAAGCAAAACAATATAATCTCCAATATAGTAGGTTTTTTTTTTAGTTCTAATTTCTTTTGTTATGCTGGTGTTGTATTTACAAGGGAAGAGCCCGGGCCTTGCATACTATTTCTTGAATGCAGTCAATGTTTTTGAGTGTGAAATAATACAAGATTGTTATTCAAGAGAAAATGACATGAGGCATTGACATGTCTCAGGATTAATGTAACTGTGATTGGAAGAAAAAATTGCTGGCCAAAACAGTGCCATAAGGCAGCCCTCTTTTCAGTTTCTAATTCATGGTATAATGCAGGGGTCAGCAACGTTCTGCACGCGGCTCGCCAGGGTAAGCACCCTGGCGGGCCGCGTGCCGAACGTTGCCGACCCCTGGTATAATGGGACATTTGTTTTCTGTACTACAGGCCTCATAGGATTTTTTTTAAGAGAGAAATGCAAAGCCATTTGAAGACTGCTACTCTGATTCTCCTTTAGACAGTAAGATTTATATAAGTATATAAGATCTGATTACTAGAAATACAGCTGAATTTGTGTCTCATGGGTTGGTCTTCTAAACTTCAGTTTAGTCTTCATGGATT